AACAAATATATGTAGAATGAAAGCAAAGATGCACAAAAAAGTATAACAAAAAGACACAAATTGACAACACAGTCACAAAACAACAACAAAGTGCAACAAAATGACAGCTAAGACGCACAAAACGACTACAAAGACACTACAGAGGGACAAAAATAACAACAAAGAGACACAAAATGACAGCAGGTTAATCTCTCTGTTGACAGATTTAGTGTAGAAGTAAAAGCTGCTCTTAGTTTGACCCTCAATCTGTGTCCTCTAATCCCACAAATGACTTAATGAAGCTTCATCAGAGCATCTTAAAGGAAGAAAAGCTCTCACTTAGCTTAGCTTTGTTAGCTTAGCTTAGCATAAAGCCTGGAAACAGGTTCAAAGAACTCAGTTCATGGCTCGACCAGGAGACAAATCTACCCAAAACAGACACGCAACGTCAAAAAAAGAGACGTGTAGTGACCACAAAAACACATGACATAAAGAGACAGAAAGTGTCCACTTTGAAACAAAACTAGCTGAAAGACGCACAAAATGACAGCAAAGACACAAAATACAACCTTAAAGAAGCAAAAGTGTCCCAAAGAGACACAAAACGACAGCAAGGGGACACAAGACAACAACAAAGATAAACAAAACAACAACAAATAGACACAAATTGACAATAAAGAGACACAAAGCAACAACAAAGACACACAAAATTACAGTAATGACGCAAAGCGACCGCAAAGAGACACAAAATGACAGCAAAGAGACAAAAAATTACAGCAATAACACACAAAGACACAAAACGACACAAAGTGAAACCAGGATTTCTAAACTGATTTACTGCATTTATTTTTCCTGTTTTTATTTAAGAACGTTTTAACCTCTGAACTTTTTCCTCTTGTTGACGTCTCTTTTCCTTCTAACCGAGCCTCCTGGTCTGGACCACGTGTTGTGTTGTGTTGTGTTGTTGTGGTGTGGTGTTGTTGTGTATGTGCTCGCTCACCAGTCGGGCAGCGCGTTGGCGCGCTGGCAGGAGCGAGCGCTACGCCGAGTGTCCAGGAGTCGCGTCTGCTGGCGAGTCCTGTCGGTGTGCTGGACGGGCGCCCGACGCTCCCCTCCACCTCTGGGCGCCAGCGGGTCTGAGGAGGGCCTAGTGAGGATCCGGGTCAGCAGGACCAGAACCACCAGAGCAGAGCTGCATTCATGTCATATGGGTCCACTGAGCTGGAATATACCAACATTTCACTGCAAATTTGACAGATTTTGTGGATACATTGCGCCTAAATTTTCTGTTTCCTGCTATATGACATGAATGCACCGTTTATGATGTAGACTTGAGCTCAGGCTGGACTGAAAAACACGCAGAGAAACTGAAAAGCCACACTTAGATCAACGCTAACAAACCCTCTGAACCCCGGAGACGTTTTTCCCTCCTGCTACATTTTTACTCACTGTGGGCTCATTTTTTACTGCAATATAAAGTCCTGCACCTATATGGAAACAGAACAGCCATGACTAGAAGCAGAGAGAACTCGGAAGTGACACAGAATGACTTCAATCCTGAAAAAAAAAAAAAAAAAAAAGGAAAAAGGAATTTATCATTTTTCAAGTATTCACTGGTGTTACCAATACTGGAGAGAAAGCAACTGCAAAGAGACACAAAATGACAACAATGACAAAACGTGACCACAACAAGAAGAAAGAGACACAAAGCAACAACAAAAACAGAAAAAAACAACAGCAATAAGTGACAGCTTTACAACAAAGAGACATAAAATGACAATAAAGAGACACAAAACGACAAGAAAGACACAGAAACGACAGTAAAGACACAAAACAACAACAGGAGACACAAAATGCCAACAACAACAGACACAAAGACAATATTACCACAAAGAAACGCACAACAGGAGACACAAAATGACAAGAAAGAGACAGCAACGACACTAAAGACACAAAAAAACAGCAAAATGAGGCAAATCTACAGCACAGAGTAACAAAACGACAACAATGATGATAAAGAGACACAAAACGACAAGAAAAGAGAAAAAAAAACCTGAACACAAACAGACAGGTATCCTAAAGGAACACAAAACATGAAAATGAGACACAAAGTAAAAGCAAAAAGACACAAAACCATGTCAAATACAAATTGTATTGAAATGGCAACACAAACTAAATGGTGTCATTTAGGCATGTTTGGCTTTTTCTTTCTTGGTAACAGCGACGCGTCTTTGTGAGGTTTCAGGGTTCAGAGGGTTA